AGTATTCAAATAGAAATGTCAATTTTGCTTTAGAAACCGTTCTAAAATTTGATAAGGACCAATCAGGTGACAGACAACTTCTAAATACTGTTGAAAAGTATATTCAAGATGCAATGCATTATAATAAACCGAAGGACTTCAGACGTCAGTTATCATCTGATAGAGAACACACCTTTACCAGTTTCATCCAACAAGCTATCAACATACTCAAAACATATGACGATACTGGTTTCCGTGTATTTTTCCAAATCTTAGACGATGAACTAAGAAACTGTCACTACATTGGCAGCAAGTTCTACGAGCTAACAGAAACTTATGAGACAAGAATGGTTCTGAGTGAAAAACTAGACCTAATCAAAGGCAAACCTGTATTCAGAACGAGATCTATAATTAATTCACTTGGAGATGCGCTGAGAACACAGAAGTATGATAGCAAGGTGAAAGATTTCGTCGATTTTCTCAATTCTTTATATACACAGGACGATGAAAAGAAATTCCACAAAGTACTGAAAGATTTGGAAGCTTATAGTAGAACGAGATCTTGGGCCGACGATAATTTAGTCAAAATTATTAGAGAAGCAGTCAGGTCTTTGATCTTCGACCACTATACTGACTTAAACACAAACACTAGAAGAGAACTGAAAGAGAGGATTGCTTCTTTCGTGAAACATTCTAAAGTGTCTCCTACAACGACTGGGAGAAACAGTTTCACTACAGACAATATTCCTAATAGAAGAATCGAAACCGTATCAAATAAAAGACGAAGTATAATAACAGCAAAAAATATATCTACAAGTCCAAGTCCAATACACAAAATTGGAAGACTAGGTTTTGATAACTCAGAACCAGTCTATAAAGACATAAGCGCATCGAATATGAAATATAAACCTTCCGAAGAATCTGAAAGCAATTCCATCGAACAGTCGCAAGAAAAACCAACGGAAGTTCACCACACCACCGGACGCTATGTAACTTTATATGAAGAGGAATTTTCACCTGCAGAGACCATACAGACAACACAGTCGAAGATACCCGATGTATTCGCTAACGTACAGAGATTCAAATTGGACGACCACAAACATGCGCTTAGATTGACTAACACAACAACGGAATCAGTGCAATGGAATATTCCAAGAAAAATTAATGTCATGGATTCGTACAAGCGAGTTATTGAATCGTTAAAGAAAATTGGAAGGTAATTCTTTTCCTATTTTGATTGGTTGTGAAATATATTTACTAAATCAATTATTTCTATTCCAGTGTATCCATTATTGATATGCATAATTCGCCAACGAAGGCAATATCAAGGAATTATACAATACCTCCAAAAAGCATAAAATTCCATGCATTACTAAACGTAGAGCCACAAACAACCAGCTTCGCGAAAAGGCATATTGGTGAGAAGACAAAACACAATCAGACTTTTGCATCAGGTCATGTCCACTCCGATGAAGAACGATCAGAACGATCCGTGGACCAAACCCAAAAGGATTTAGAAAAAGAAAGAAAACATCTAAGAAGATCTTTAAGCAACAACAGGGGAAATCTAGGAGTACAAGACCTCAGAATCATCCTCGAAAGGCTAAATTATTTAGAGAAACAAATAGAGGAACTAAAGCAACCCAACGTTCTAAGAGGTTGTCCAACGAACGACAAAAACCAAACTGTAAAATGTTTAAGTAGGAGTAGTAATGGAAGAGATGAAAATGGCGACGCATTTGGCGATATTGTTATTAGGAAATGTGATAGATGTAACGTTTCAAGGTTATATAGAAAGGTCTTGAAGACAAACAAAACGCAACTGTATCACACAAATGAGAAATTAAGTCATAAACTTAAAGCAGATCAAACAAAACAGAGATCAACTCAAACGTTGCTATTGAAGGACAGACAAAGAGCAAGAGAAACTACGTCAACGGTAAATTTGTCTCAAGTAACACACAACAAAATGCATCGTGACTTCACTGAAACCATTCCTCTAGGTGCTAGCTATACCTCAACGGATGGCGGAAGGAGATCTAAGAATAGAATCAGAAATAGTGATAAGAAATCTAAAAGACATACAACGAATAGAGGAAGGTCTACAAAAGTTTTAGAGTTTTCGTCTCCCCCACACTATGATATATTTCACCCATCGGTCGTGTGGTGATTGAAATAAATATTTATTTAATTATTTATTCTGAGTTATGAATAAAACTTTCTTTAACTTAATTTTGCCTTATGTTGCATTTGTCATTGAATATACTTCTTTTTCCGAATGTCAGTCGAAGTGTGTTCCCTCCAAAACACATATTGTTGTGCTCGACAGGGTCCATATTGTGCCTTAATTATGTCTACCACCTAAGTCACACATGTAGAAAACAATAAAGATTTGAGTATTGGGTATTTTAATGTTTTCTTTTTTGTGCCATAGAATACAAACGAGCAGTCGGATTACCTGATGGTAAACGATCAGCGCCGCCCATAGACATTATTAAAAAGATGTAAAATTAAAAAGATTTCGTCCACCTTTGCAGTGTTTTATTTTCCCTAAATCATTTTAATATGTAATATTGCCAAATTCGAGCAGCTCAAATTACAATATGCTGCTCACTACAGCATCGCTAATGTGACATACGATTTCAGTTGCTGTAAATTCAGATTCAATTCCTGTGTCACATCTTTTCTGTTTAGAAAATCTCTATAATTTTTTTTTTTTTTTTTTTTTATATTTGCTACAAGGTTGCTCTATTGCATGCGACTCATACAATAACTGGTAGAAAGATTGTACCTAAATATTACACTTCATTGTACCCCGTTGGGGGTTAACAGGCGAAGCATTATGTTGGTAATATTCCTAAAGTTGTTAAGTAGGTATGGATGTTTGTCACTAATATTTACCACAAAAACGACACAACAGTTTAAAAAATTACATATTTGTTACTTTTGAATTCTCTGATCTTAGCTTAGTACAAGTTTGTTATATAATGTTTAAAGTAATCGCAACGAGATCGCGTTCGGCGCTGTGATTGGTCGTCTCCAAATAACCAACCAACCAACCAATACAAACTCGGCAAGGACCGCACATTTGTACCAGCAACAGATTTTGTTGAGTGCGCCATCTATTAGTTGTTTCTTGAACTATACCATCAACTGTTGTTTTATTGCATATCGGTAGATGTCGCTACGACTTATTCGTTGTATTAAGCTGAATCCGAAACAATATTAAAAATATGTAACTAATTGTGTTTATTTGTTTTCTTTTAAACTTCATCTGCTTAATCAACCTTTTTGGATTTTAGTACATATTGCTGTTGAGAGTACGAAATATAGACACTGTCATTCTTAACTTGTCGTGTGTCTACACGTGGATCCACGCTAGACACAATGCATTTTCTATTGTGTCTCATATACGGGCATTCAAGCAATTAAAGGCTAATGAAAAATAAGAATTAGAAAATATCATTGGTCTCCATATAACTAAACAGGGTACAGATTGAGTGTTGAAAGACTATTCAACGCTAAAGTTTTATCAAACCTACATACTAGAGATATAGTTGGCGGAGTGATCACAAGCGCAGAATAAAATACCGACCTACCTACAGTCAAGGCCGTTGAAAAATATGTGGACATAGTCTCTTGTAACAACGACTGTGGCACCTGGCTACTATAGACTTACACGCAGAATACACACACATTGACACGAAGTACTTCTGTCGCGTGACATGGCCCGTCATTACACTTCATACATTACGGTGTTGCAAGTACACGCAAACATAAATACATCACTGACATATTGGTGCTTCAATCATTTCTAAATGACATTACGTTAGCCTTTTTTTCAACTTCGCAAGTCGCAAGTGCGACTACCGGGCAAGGGGTCTTGCCATCGATTCACGGGTCTTTCAATTCTCAGTAGTAGCTCGAAGTCTGGAATTGTGCCTGGTATATGGCAATAGATTCACCGCCTATTACATACATAGGACTCATCATAAATAGTAAAAAATAGGTGTTACATTGTACAGTAGCATAATGTGCACCTCTTCCTACCCCTTCATGAAAATGATTCACTTCGTATTTGTCTATGGCAGTAGTGCAAAGACTAGATTTCGTTTCTGATTATTAAGTTATTAAGTTTATCGTCGTAGCAAAGAATATTTTATCCTAAAAACTAAGTTGTATTTTTTAAAGTAGTGTTCCAACTGCAATTGAAATTTCAAAACCCATGTCTTGTTTTTTTTTAGAATTGCTTGATCATGTGTTTTCTAATCATTGTAGTTCCTTATTCTCATACAATAGTGTCACTAAAGAAATATATGGCAGAATTTTTTATTTTGTTATTGAGTTTAGGAACTCTTGATCTCCAGCGTGTACTGTTTCTTGTAAACGACAGACATAGTCCCGAATACTGAAAGGCTACTCAGTTTTAAGTCGCGCTTAACTATAGTTCTGTCACTACAAACTCTATGTCAAGTAACAGAGAGTGCGCGATATTTAAGTAGGTACAACTGAAAATTGAGTAACCTTTCAGTATGCGGGCGATAGAGTCGCATTTGATGTCGATTTGAATAACCTTATAATAAACTGTTTCCCTAACAGCAACAATAAGTCGTTAATTTTCATTCCTACGAAAAATATTTTCGGAATGCAAATATTATTGGAATAATGGTATAGTGAACGACAGAACACAAGCGCACACTTTCATTTTAATATAAAATCCTAACATTTTATTGTATCATAAAACTAGTTATACATTGCGTGAGCAACTATTTTTATATTTGTAATGCAATAAAATTATTACAACTATTTTATTGACAATAAACATTGGAATTGTTACTGATTTTAAACTCAATGTTAGTAGATTTTAAATTTAATATACGTTTTTAGTGCCATTTTCCTTGTTAAAATCTCCATTTGGTTTTTATTAAAATCTGTAATGGACATTTTAGAAACTGTACAACTGTATCGAAATTCTATTGAAATATTTTGATGAATATATAGTTTGCAATTATTAATACATAATGTTGTTGTTATTGATTATTGCGTTGTCGTGTTTGTCATTATGTGAAGTGAAAGCCAAAGGTACGTATTGCAACTTAAAGAACTGAAAACAAACAAGTAGGTATAGAACATATTGCCGCTGCCACTGCTAGGCTGCTATCAATCGTAGCGTGATATTTTATAGCATAGGCTATAGAGCCATCCTCGATAAATGCACTATCCAATGCAAAAATAATTATTAAATTCGAACCAGCAGTTCTGGAGGTAACCACGTTCAAACAAACACTTCGACTTTATACATTTAGTTATAATTAGATTTCCAGTCTAATTGACTTTTCTTCAAATTTCAGAGGTCAACAAATCAGTGATACTAAACATGCATCATAAGAATTTCCGTGAAATAAAAACAATTTTGAAAAAAGTCAATGAAAAGCTACAGGATATTGGGCAACTGATGAAAGCAAATAAAGAGGTAGCGACATTGCCAGTGTTCGCACCTCCTGCACTAAGAGATGGGATGAAAGAAAAACAAAATAAAAACGTCTCTTCCGACTTAAGTTCGCCAAACAAAACAAAACCTAATTCACTTGGGAATAGAGAAAATTCTTCAACAACATCTCCATCATTAACCACATCACCAAATATAACATCAACATTCCACGCGTCTAGTGCAAAATTAAAACAAAATAAATTATCTGAGAATATAGGGAGGAGCGATCGAGAGACTACCTCTCCGACTGTAGTGTCTACTGTTAAAAATAATTCTACAATTTCACATATAACACTTCTTGCTAAGACAACCGCATCACATCTTGCTCAGACAACTGCTAAGTCTTCTGTGCCTGTATTGCGGGATGATAATCATGAGTAAGTTACTAATGCTTCCTCTGTTTACATAATACCAGTTTCATCGCTCGTTTGATTCCAGACTACAATCTAAACAGAGGCGAATTAAACCTAGAGAGTGTCCTAGGCAAGTTCCTCATAGGCGTCACAATTTCTTTTAGCGCCACCGGCACTCTTTGTACTGTTGTGCACGTGCGTCTCACGGCGCTCCTCTATACCCTGGCGCCCGTAGGGATAATACGGCTCGGAATGTGACTCAGACCACGTTTCATCCAGATCTTAATCGGTATTATATATGATAATACTATCCTCTACCAGCACCTTTGTTTGCGATCTTGTGGGATATAAAGTAGATAGACCATAATCTACTACTGTTTGAAATTACATCCCGATCCCTTCAGCCGCTTTGACGTGATTCAGTAACAAACTGTCAGTCTGTCTCGGTTTCGTACGTTTGCTTTACTTATAAGCAAGCATGGTGATCAATGCTCAAACTGTCTCCGTGTCAGCAGAGGCCTTTGGTCTGCTGTGTTCACTTTAGGTTGATGATGATGATAAAGCCTTTGACGATAACCACGTCTCCCAAAGACTCGTTTCAGATCCTGGCGCCTCACTAGAGTCACAGTCGAGGGCAGAACTACTAGAGAACTATTATCGCCTGCTAGAAGAATATAATGAAGGTTATCTAGTGGTGTTTTTGATGGAGCTGTCCAGACTAGTCGCTGTCAAGGATGTAGAAGACGTCCACATCATACTACGACATATGGAACCAATACTTCATGAGTACGGTTACAATATAACTTCATACTGAATTAACTAAAAATGACGCATTACTCTACAAGTTTCGAGACACATAGGGACTATTCTTCATGAGCGGTGGCGACGTACACAGTTAGCGTTGTAAGTAACACTGACTTTGTGCCGACTCGGGAATCGTACTCTAGTAGGTTGTGTGGCGTTGGTATTTCATCGCCACTGGTGAACGTACCGAGCACCTCAACATTGTCGCAAACGCCGCTATCGCCAGTTAAAAGCAAATGCTCGTGGTTCCCGACAGAGGGCGTGCAACGCAAGCACCAACGCGGGCACTAGCCAGTAGTAGGCATCGCCGCGACCGCGTACGCTGCTAATGAGGAAGAGTCCCACTGTGACTCGAAACTAATTCAACTTTTCTCAGTATATTTAAATGAGTAACGCGTCATTTCTAGTTAATTCAATATAACTTCTATCACATCTAAATATAGTCAATAATAGAAAAAGACTAGAAGAATGTTGTCTTTTGTTCTGATTCGAGGATAACTACAAGATTCTTGTATCCATGCCGCAGTACTCGGAGTAATGTAATGACTACTTAACTCAGTCCTTGGCAATGGTGCCTACCGTATTATTGCTCTCCAGATAGCGCTAGCGTGACCCTCTTGTTCTTCGTCCAACAGTGAATTAGCTAGTGTCACGCCATTGGACGCTCAATATTTGACAGTCGCTGCTGTGATTGGACAAGAAAACTCTTTCTACATATGCGACATCTGGTGGGCAAAAATGTTAGCCCTCATTGTTTCCGTTTCTTCCAGGATGCTGAAATCAAAGAAGCTGGGCTGGTTCGGACACCCAACAACGCATGTGATGATACAATTTGGGCTTTTTGTCTCAGACGGACCTATTCAACTTGTGCGAAGTAAGTAGAAATAGAAATTATTAATACTTATTTCCAAAAATTGTCGGATCACCTAATGGTAAGCAATCGGCACCGCCCCGGGAGGATTTGGGTTTCCGGTTACCTCGCTCACGAGGCGAGACACAACGCAAGCGTTGTTTCACGTCGGTTTTCTGCTCGGCCGTGGTATAGCTCCGGCCGTGTCGGCTCTCCCACACTTACATAAACGTCATTATTACTGGTTTGACTGACTTCCTTCCTAATAATAAATGACTATTTTTTATTCCAATGTCCGTCTGGTTAGATTATGTTAAAACATTAGACACGTGTTTTTATTTGCTTACGGAAACAAATACTTTCAAAAATATGTTGATTTAAAATATCGCGTGACGTCTAAGCTCCCATTTCTAAACTTTGATTCGTTTTATCTAAGTATTGTTTTCTTATACGGCAACAAAATACGTGTCTAAGATTTTTTCATTAGTTAACTGACAGACTAAATAGATTTTTAATATTTTCATATCCTGTCATCATTCCTATTGTTACAGACTACTCAGGAATGGTATATCACATGATGAGGCTACGGAACACGTCCCTGGACAGCGATGTGAACTCCATCATCGATTACGCCGACATACTGTACGAGGATGCAGAGGGAAGGCTGCTGTTTGAAGCTCTTCGAGATTTTGAGGCTTATCCTGATGGTTTGTTCATAGATTGCTCAGCGCACCTTCTGTTATTATGGGACTCATGACATGACTGGTGAAACATTTATTTTGGGGGGTGGTGGGATTCGTCTAATGACTCCTCCAGCCATGTTTGAGGCGAGAGAGAGTATCAGACTCTTACTGACTAAATACCACTCCGTTTCTACTGCCTCGTTGGCCGAGTGGTCGCAAAGTGCGACTGCCAGGCAAGGAGTCCCAGGTTCGATTCCCGGGTCAGGCAAAGTATTGCAGGGTTTTTCGGAGTCAGGAATTGTTTCCGGTATTTGGTACCTGGCTCACCCGGTATTACATGAGACTTATAACATAAATAGCGAAAAGTGGATGTTATATAATTGTAGAGTGCATGACCTGCACCTCTTCCTACCCCTTTAGGGATAAAAAGTTATATTGTTATGTTATATCTCATCAAAACTTCATCATAATTATAATACTTGTTCCAGTGTCAAAAACAAGTACAGAAGTCTGTCAGGGTCTGGTAGACAGTTTCTTCGCTCCGTACCGTCGTCTGTTGAAGTCAGAGAGAAGACAGAATCTTCTGGACGCCATCAACTACTTGCTGAAGACCAGGTTTCCGAGGAGGAAGTCCAATGATGACGACATCATCCCGTTTATAATGAATGGTAACTAGTGAAATATTTATATGACAATGAGCTCTATTCTACCCATCAAGCTCTTACGTTTGATATCCATAATGAAGGTAGTTGTGGAAAAAATTAGAATATATTGTATGGTCATCAAGATTAAGAGTGTGTACCAAATATCAGATCGATCTGTCGTCAGGACAGGATGGTGGTGACATCCCAATTACTAAAGACCCGAACAAACAAACGGGGCAAGCTTAATAAAACCGTTCAATAATATCTATTGACTGTCTCGTTAGTCGGGTCGCAATCACGTCTGCTGTGTAAAGGGTCCTGATACCCGGTTGTGTATGAGAATAGATTGGACCTCTGTTATATAGCACTTCTAAAATAACTGGTGATGGTGAACAGTGAATATCGCAGTCTATATGTGCAGTGTAAACCCCCTTTTGAGTGGGAAAAACATCCAATGACTTTTTAGACTGTCTTCAGTGAGGCGAGAGACTCTTACTGACTACACATAGGTCCGTTTCTACTCCTACATTGAGCCGGAGCCTCGGTAGCCCATTAGATCTTCCGTAGCGGGCAAGATTATCGGATAATGAAAATAAATGTTAAGTGTTATTAGTAAAACTGCTTCGCACATTTTGTGCCATATCGCACTCGAGATGAAATCATAAACTTTGAAATCCAACAACTAATAGGGACATATTATCACAAACTTCTTTTTGCAGGTCCAAACCACATTTTCGAACATCACAACCATAAATATGGTTCCAAAGTAGACGCTAAAATCGCTTCCCTCCGTTCTTCAAAAAACAAATATCCAACCAGTGAAGACTACCTACTTACCCGTACAAGAGAGAGGCAATCCAAGCATAGAATTAATTTAAAGAAGAAGACCACAGAAGATATCAGAAAGACTACAAAAGAAAAAGATATTCAAGGACTTACCTTGTCAAGCTACTTACAAACTAGCTCTCTAAAGCCTCGATTTAAAAAAGTGTATGAAAAATACCATGAGACCGAAAAGACCAGAAGTTCTTTTAATTCCGGGGAACTGATTGAGAATAAAGTAGTTCGATCTGGGAGAAATAATGAAATGGAGGAGACACATGGCCAGTCATTCCTGAAGCAAGTTAGGGCACATTTGTCGAAATCAAATCTGTTTAGGACGAATGATAACAAGATGAAGGTGAAACAGAAGATACTGAAGGAAATCGTCGAGGGTTCTAGTTACAGTGACGAAGAAGAGTCGTTGCAGAAGAATTTGATCAAAGCGCTACAGAATTACAATAAGGGTAGACATCATAAATATGTTGGTACAACGATGAGTCAAGTGACACCAGGTAATGAACAATGTATAAGCTACTGGCTTCTGCCAACGGCTTTTCCCATAGTCTCGTGGGATTAAAGGAAAAAAAACGACTTATTTGAACCTCCACTAGCCGTTACGTTTCTTTTAGTTAGACAAGTTGACAGATTGATCAAAAAGTATAAAATCGCATCATCATTATCAACAGCCTGTTCCTAGCAACAGCTGGTCAAACGCCTCTCCAATAGCTTACCGTCAATAGTCTATAAATGTCTACTATTGAGTAAAGCCCTCTTCTCACGCGGATAAGGTTTGAGCATTAATCACCACGCTTGCTCAATGCAGGTTGGCATATAGCATACCACTGAGTTTGAATTTGGTAAATTAAAAATGGTCTAAGCCGTCTTGAGGATTCTTGGGGATTCAGGGATTGGGAAGATTGGGGAGGATAGCCTCCGGTAACCTCATTCAATCGACGAAACACAACGTAAGCATTGTTTCACGTCGGTTTTCTGCTCAACCGTGGTATCACCCCATTCGTGCCAAGCGTAGCTCTCCCACACTTAAAAGTAGTTAATGTGTGATTCATTTACATTCATATCTGATATAACGTGACTTCAACTGTTGCAGGTACAATATCATCTAGAAAGCAATATTTGAATCTGACGAAACAGTCTGGGGTCAAGTTTAAGAAGTTTATATCTCTCGTTAGAGGCGGCTTCTTGAGATAGAAGAATGTATTTACTTTACAATTACTTACATAATATATAACGTTGCATTCATTTAATTTTGTTGTTTTATTTTGAACCAAAACCTGAATCTATATAAAGCAGATCGCTAGCAGTCCTGCCCGCGGATTCGGTCGCGTTTCTGTGTTATGAAAGATAGCCTATATGTTATTCCAGACCATATTCTACACCAAAGTTAATTCCAATCCCTTCAGCCGTTGCGACGTACGAGTTACTCACATAAACACACTGAGACAAGCTCCACTAGTGTCGAGTCACAGAGTCTTCCTCATGAGCAGCGTGCGTCGCGGCGCTGGCGATGTCGCACAGCCTACCGCGCAGCCTACCTATACTCAGCTAGCTGCACATTTCAAAGTGTAGATTGATAACAGAACTGGTGAGACATGGTTGTTGCAACAGCCACTTGAACACAAGTTAACGGCAGATGAAACGAGCAACAATATAAACTGACGAAGGAATGGGGATAATAAGCTCTAAAGACAACACAAATACTTACTTAACAACTACATCATTATTATATCATCAAACGGATCCAACTTTAGTAAGTATAGTCTGCAGCAGGATGAGTGATAGGAGAATTATGACTTCTTAAATTTGTTTCTGTATTTAAACAAACTGCTATACAATTTGATTAAAAAAGAATGCGACATGCAACAAAAATCCAATTACTAGTTTCCACGATTAGTAACAGAGAATAGAAACATGCCAACACAGCTATACAATACTAAAGTTACTAACGATAATTCAACTTTTGGCAATTCATAATGCTGCACAAATTAATATAATCATTATGGACCGTAATGGTACCGACTATGAATTAAAAAACTCAAGGTTTAGCTGCCTGCGCGTTAATGAGGTTTGTATTAAATGGGTCGAAAGAAAATCTTCACAATACTACCTAGTTGCCATAGACGCATTGATTTTATCATTAACTGTAGATTCATGTACATTCTTATATACCCTTGTATCTATTGCTTAAAGGAAATCTAAAGTCGTGGCCGTCTATTAAATTTAACAACGTTTCCGTAAAACGAAAGGAGTCGGTTTGCTACCTCGGTCTAGTTTTGGATAAAAACTTTTCTTTCATTGAGCACATTAAGGCTATTAGTGAGAAAGCCAAAAATAACTTCTATGCGCTGACGCGAATTTCAAAGGCCACCTGGGGTCTCTCTTTTCTTACGCTCAGGATCATATACGGAGCAACCTACCTGGGATGCGTGTGCTACGGGGCACCTGTCTGGGCTGATAGGGCCACAATAGGCGCGGTACGGCGAAAACTTCTTCCTGTGCTCGCGGGCGTACTTCCGGTAGATCTTGAGGTGCAGCGACGTGCTGCTATGTACTACAGTGCGAGACCTAATTTGTCAGCAAGCTTTCTAGCACAACGTGATAGAAATAAAATTGGTAGATTGTTTAAGCCAATAACGGACGTCTGGGATGAGCTTATAACTGAATGGCAGGGTAGATGGGCATCTTCTATTAAGGGCCGCCACCTATATCAGTTCTTCCCATCCGTGCATGAGCGGCTGGAGAGGACATGGTTGGAGGTGGATCACTGTGTTGCCCAATTTCTTACTGGCCACGGCAACTTTAAAAGCAAATTGTTCTCATTTAAACTTATTGATTCACCATGGTGCCAATGTTCGACAGTGGAGTTGCAATACGAGCAGTCGGCCCATCACATACTCTAGGAGTGTGATCTCTGGCAATATGAACGTAACACTATGTTGAATAATTTAATTGTTTCGTCAGGTGTAGCTTATTATACGGACCTTGTGGAATCTAGAACAAATTTCCGTGCGTTTAGGCGTTTTTGCCATACCTATTATTGGAAGCAAGTATAACAGCTCACACATAGGACCCACTTAGTTTTTTAGTCAAATTTTCGTGGTGCTTGGCGACTGGGCTTCACCCAGTTGTACAGTCTCTTCTTTGTGCCTTTAGGCTTAATTCATTCTGTCTCCTGCAGAAATTCACCGAGGGAAGTGGAAATTATAGTTTTTTCTTCTCCTCTTATAATATCTTCTGATTCATTTCGTTGAGGGAACCAAGACAGTTACTCATGTCCCTGGGACGCGCCGGACTTCAGTGTTCCGGTGTTTTCATGGTTGTATCTACTGTAGATCCTGGCTTACAGGAGTTGCAGCGGTTTTGGGAGGTTGTGGCGGGCTTGTCCCATTAAAAAAATACCCTTGTATCTGCTGCACTTCCTTCAGCACCGTTTACAGTGGAGTGTACTTCAGTAACTATAGTATTTCTTTGTGTGTTGTGGCGTAATATATGATTTTGTTCTTTCTTCTTAGTATTGCTGTATTTATTATGACTACGAAGTGTTCTGTCACAGTTACTTCTTCAGCTTTATTATTGGTTGCTTTAGTTGTGAATTCAGTTGATTTATCTCTCATTTATGTTATCGGTAAAGCTGTTCTTGCTTTATTCTTGTCTGTAGTTGTATCGTACATTGATATCATTGCAACTTCTATGTGTCCTACAATTATTTCTTTCCTAACTTCTTGCACTTGTTTGTCTAGATTACTTACTCTTCTCTCTAAATCATCGTTTAAGTTGACTGCTGTTGTTATGTTACTAGTACCATCTCTGCGATATTATGTTTGTGGAGACCTGTAAATAAATATATCAATGTAAAGTATACAGGCTTCTAGAAGTGGTGGATTGGAAAACGCAAGCATGAGAGTATGCAATTGAAACTTACCAACGGCAAGTACCAATGGGTCATTTTTTAATAGGATAAGCCGGTAAACGAGCAAACAGGTCACCTGATGGTAAGCAATAGGCGTCGCCCATATACACCCGCAACACTAGAGGAGTTACAGTAGTACGTTTCAGAGACCGGTTTACCACTGATCAAGTTCAATTTAGTTTGCAACATCCTTCTAGTGTCATGGTGTTTGGTTAGCTCAGAGAATTTACATCCTCTGTTGGCTACCAACAGCGCCATCTAGCGGTTGACGGCGGAACTAACAAGTGAACCGACGAGGGCGGGCGCCACCTACCGCCAATGGGACGAAGCTTGCGCCGCCTCTTGACGCCACGGGAGAACAGCGCCGCCGCGGGCGCCCCCCGCCCGCACGCTGTGCTCGATTACGACCGCGCAGCGAACGTGTATGTATAGTGATAGTTTTTAACTTCTTCATTTAAAATGTCGAAACAATCTTCGACGATGTGTTGCTGGAATTAAAATATGCTTTACAAGATGAATAAACTGTATGTAAGACCTGTTCTTGGTGCAATAAAATAAATAATATTTAGGAATATATAAGAAAAATATGATTGAAAATACGTACCAGATATGGTAAACAGCAGAACACAAGCGCACACTTTCATTTTAATATAAAAATACTAACATTTTATTGTATCATAAAACTAGACATACATTGCGCGAACAACTATTTTTATATTTGTAATCCAATAAAATTATTACAACTATTTTATTGACAATAAACATTGGAATTGTTACTGATTTTAAACTCGATGTTGTTTCAAAGTTCCATTGGTTTCTTGACAAATGTTTTTAAAAACACAAAATTTTGAACAAATTTGTTTAGATAGTCAAAATTGAAAATGTGCTGCAATAATATAATTAAAATAGTGAATATTTCCAACTTGAAACTAATAATAAGTTATAAATAATGTTGCTGCTATTTTTATTATTAGTTCTGCACTACGATTTGTCATTTTGTCAGCGGTTTCATGAAGGTTTGTCAGAGTTATATTACAATATTATCATTATTATAATAAATTGCGACTTGCTTAAAAAAACATCTCTAGTGCACTCTCAATTAACCAAAGTGGCTAGTTTTTCATTAAAATACAATAATAATAACTCAGCAACTGAAATAACGCTATAAAAATCTATTATCTGAGAATAATAGACAGCACGGAATAAAAATTAATAGTGTTAACTATATGGACACAAAGACACGAATAATATTACTGGCGAAAATTGTCTTTGATCTAACCTCGATCCAAAACTAAAAACCATATTAATACATACACATAATGATCTTCATAAACTCCACAGCGGGACTCGACAGCAATTGGTATCAGACGAAGCAACACACACTAGACAAATACAGGCAGAACATATTCTACATGAATAAGAAACATAAGAAGATCAACAACTTCAGAGTGGATGACGGTGGACCTACACACACGGACTTTTTAAACTCAATGACGGAAATATGGCTGAATACCACTCCAAGGATAGAGCAGATTAATCATGTTGCCGTTCCAAGTTCCAAGGATGTCTTTTTCTCGATGAAACCTGCCACAGAAGTTCCACAGTTTCCATTCCCTCCTGTTACTAGAACAGAAAAGAACCCTTACCTTCAACCTCACGCTGATACTGTAGAAACTCTTCCATCTCTTCCATATCCTAGTTTAGATCCCCCTCTTCAATCTCCAGCAACAACACTACAGCCAGAATACACTCCTTCTCCAACTAGACCGACGCCAAAAGATCCCTCTTTCAATTCTCCTGCTCAAATTCCAAGGTCTTCAACTGATCCAGGTTATAATCCATTAGAAACGGAAGGTACCACTCCTGAAGCAGTAGTTTATAAACTGTACCAGACTCACCCATCAGATGTCAATATTGTGATGGAAGAGATGGCTAAATATCAGACTCCTACTAATTATATTCCACCAACTGTAACTAACAACCTTGATTTCACTGGTGAGTCATCAGTTTGTCATCATCATCAAAACTTACGTGGGACATACTAAATTAATATTATATTCGGTTTACTCACGTAACTGTTTGACGAGGAACTCGACTGGTTGGGCGCGCATCGCAGACTTGTGTAGCCAGTAGCAGCGCTACAGTCGCGGTGTTGTATATCGCGGAATGTTGCTAGTCGAGTTCCTCGTCAAATAGTTACGAGGGCAAGTTGAAAACATAATAAGCAACATCGTTTTGACTGTGCGGTTGGTGCGGTGGCTGGGCAACCAGCTGCTGCGCCACGTGGAACTGATTTAATTCTCGCATGGAGCAACTTCTTGTGTGATCTGCAAATCGTTATTTCGGGTCTGGTCTAATGTGTATTGTGTATGTAAAATTATATATTTGTAAACGCACTCACGATACAGAAGATAGTGTGGGGGAAACGTTTTAAAATAAAAATATAATTGATTCCAGTTCAAAAACTCTATAGTTATAAAGTGTCCCTTTTCAAAAGCATGTCAAGTCACATGCGTCCCCTGAAGGGTGCGAATGGCTTAATTTACACCAGTTACATTAAGAGTCTCATACAATACTATGAATTCCAAATTATTTACTATTATAGATAATTTCGATAAACGTACTATTATTTTCTACTATCCTAATTTCTAACTTAATAACTACAAAAATAGATACATTCTATAAACTTAATAATGCTCTCCTTCTATAACTACTAGTAACAATTAAATAACTGATCAATATCTCTATTCCACAATAGAAACACTTATATCGTTCGATAAAACCCTGACGAAAGACCAACAAAGTCTGGAAGACAGAACTAAACCGAAACAAATTGAAAGACAAGACCAAACTACTTTAGATCCAGTCATCTCATCAGTTCAAGACAAACTACTCGACGACTATCACGCAGATCCTGCTACGTTAAACACGAAAGAGAAGAAAGAACAGGCTGTGGAAGATATAGAAAACGAACCTAATATACCCAGGGAAGGAGACAGTAATAAACCAGACGATAACATAATGACAAACCAAGAGACTTTGGTCAAAGAATCAGATTTCAAACCTGATAACAATAACGAATTGATCCGAGAACTGAAAGAGAGTATGAATTTAAAAGGCATAGATGTAATTATTGAACCTGACAGAGTAGTAATGTCTGATAAAATAGACAGTACAATGAAAAAACAACATAAAGAGGATAAAGATATAATAGAACATAGTCCAATAGACGTTCATATAAAAGCAAATGTGACTGCTAAGGTACATGAAATCATTACGCCAAGAATTGCTAATGTAGCGAGTGAGGGTACGACAATTAAATTCAGTAACAAGACTGATGAAACGTTTATAATGGATGACATTGATGACGTACATAAAGATAAACTTGATGAAATACTAAGGATGGTAACACAAAACACTCAAATGGAACGGACTACAGAGGTTTATAGAGTTCCAACGAAACCCACAGAAGTAGATGCAACAAAATCCATGTTGTACAAAATATTCAATAATTACTTAAAAGAAACAAGAGCGCCTAGAAAGGTAAAGAAATTCACAAAGTCAACGTTTAGAAAGGACGAAATCTCAACGCATAAAATTAAAAAGATGCATTTAAGGAAAATTATAAAGATGCCAACCATAGTAAGAGAAGTATACACGACAAAGCATAAAAGGCTACACGCTAACAAACTTTTAAAAGAATCAACCATTGTACGAGAAGTAGAAACGACAACACACAAAGAGGACGATAACGATGAAGAAGAGGAAACAAGCTCTTTAACTACACCAGTACAAGTGAATATAAAACGTTAGTAGTATCTAAATACTTTCTTCTATTAACATAACATAACATCACGCCTTTTATCCCCGAAAGGGAAGGCAATTCTGCTGTACAATGTAACACTCACTTTTCGCTATTTTTGTCATGAGCCCCATGTAACAGGGGGTGACCCTATTGTTATTTACCGGTCCATATTCTAGACTGCGTGCTACAAATGAGAACTTTAAAAAAACTCAGTAGTATTTGCCCGACCCGGGAATCAAACCCTGCCCTTGCCCAGCAATCGCACTTGCGACCACTCGGCCAACGCAACAGTTTTTTCTACAACTGATGTCATAAATTTGATTACGGCTAGTTTAGTCTTGTCACTTACCCTACCACCTCATCATTATCATCAACGGCCTATAAGTGGCCACTGCCGACCAAAGGCCTCGTCTCACACGCAAAGGTTCGAGCAAATCACCACGCTTACTCAATGCAGGTTGACAATTTCAAACTTATAATTAGGAATTACAAGCTCAGGTTTCCTCACGATGTTTTCTTCCACCGTACCTTTACTGTAAACTTAAGTCTATCTTCAATGGTAATAAAAATAATAAGAACGTTTAACTGTTATCCAGGTATGCCACAAACTACAACCACAATGCTGCCATACTTCAAAATGATTGTTGATCTGGATGAAGGGTACATGGTGGTGTTCCTCATCGAGCTGATGAGGATCATGGCGTCTAAAGACAAGGATGATCTATTTGAAGTCCTCGTTCATACTGAACAGATCGTGCTGCAGTGAGTGGCACATAATACCATCTGACATGCAAGTTGAAAGTTGTTAATTTGAACCTTATTCGTTTGTATTTCAGACTTCATGAAAATGGAAAAATTAACTGGTTCGGTCAGCCTCTCTTAGGCATCACAATGAAACTGGCAAAATTCATGACTGAATCTGAAACGGGAGTAATACAAAGTAAGTAATTCACATGTAATCAGCTCATGTAGGGTATTGTCCAGTCACCTGATGGTAGCGAGGTTGACTTGTCAACGACACACGTACTTAGGTATCGTCATGAGCTAATGTTTACATGTAAACTACGCTGATTCTAATGATGTTCTTACAGAATACGCTTCGAAATTGAATAGAAGAATAAGTGCACGTCACCAAGAGTTATCTACTGAAGTCAACACCATCATAGACTATGCTGATATGTTGTATGATGATGAAGAAGGCACGAAGCTCTTCAATGTGCTCAAAGATTTTGATGACTATCCTAACAGTATGTATTTGTGCGATGTAGATTTGTACATAGCGCCATCTATTAGTTGGTTCTCGAACTTCTTATAGTGGGTGTACCTGTTATTCTGAATTTGTATTTTTTTTATTATTTCAGTTTTAAAACCAGGGTACTCAATATGTTTAGCATTAATAGAAAGCTTCCTAAAGCCATATCGTCGGCTCAGTAATACAAAGCTGCGCCAACGATTGTTAGACTCTATTAACTTAGAGCTAAGAGCTCGAAGTGCTTTGATTGGATTTTTTGGTATAAAAGAAGGTGCGTATATTATGTATCTAACAGACATAATTAGTTATTAACTTATTGATATTGATTACATTTATGTCAGCCAAAGCAATATTGGGTTCTTTCGATTTTTTAAATTTTGAACTGTCGATAATTCTATCCGAATAATGGCGCAAGTCTCCTCCGGGATCGAAAAACCGATCTACGGGCCATAGACGATCTTGATCATTCGGCGAATTGTGCGGATTCCCATGTAACTCGCTTTATTGTCGACAACCGTAGCTTAGTAAAACAAAATGACGTCATACCCATACTTCTCTTTCACAGAAACAGAACTAAGGCCGCCAGTGGCATCAGGCAACTACAATACAGTCCCATTGTCAAGGAAAAAACAAAAGAAATTTAGACAAAAACTACAAAAGCTGAAGTCGAAACCAAAACATCAGACAAATAAACGAAAACAAACAACATTCCGGCCAGATTACAGCAATGAAAACATTTTTAGACGTAGATTAAGTTATACACCTGAAACTCAGTACAATTATCCTTTGTTAAGAAATATGAAGCCGATCACAAGTATACAGAGACGGTACAAAATTGTTACTCCGACACATCGACACATGTCAAGGCACAGCTCTACACGTAGTTATATAGTAAACCTAATCAGTAGACCCACCAAGGAGCTCACAACTAAACTAAATAAATTTAAGAATCAAGCGAATACTAGATTCGCTTTCCTCCATGGACAGTACGATTTCGAACGAATTTGAGGCACAGAGACCAAGGTCACAGGATTGAACGTGTTCATGATAGGAATGTGATTAACAATCAGAGAAATAAAATTTATATAATCATATAAGGGATGGAATTAAGCAGATAGCAGCTACAAGAAAGACTGAACGGCTTGAGACGAGTTACAATTAAATTATTAAAACTAACGATAACAATGGATAAGGTGACCAGAAAACTGGCGCGAAACTATAGTTACGTTGCGTATAACCACGAGAGTGAGATTACCTGAGCCCGAGTCCCGATTACTCCCCTACTCAATCTCCACAATCCTCGAATCACTATCTCTCAAAAGGCCGGCAATGCAACGCATCTCCTTAGACCAACACTGAAAAATCGGACCGAAAGCCGTCTATGGGCGGTGCTGATTGCTAACCATCAGGTGATATGTCTGTACGTTTGCTAGACTATTCCATAAAAATATCTGTTTCTGAGAAAATGCGTTCGTTCCAGAAGCCTCGGATTGGGTTCTTCGATATCTGTATTACAAAAATAAATACATTGTTTAGAATTGTGGCAGGCGTTTGACAATATATTCTTCATTAACTCGTCGAGTACCGTATTTATAGACACAATTAAAGAACAATAGGTTGCGGTCACCGGTGACCGCTTGGTGTTTAAACTGCCATCATCACTGTCTTCAGCTGTTCTCATCACAGGCAACAATTTGTCCCGAATTCCCCACAATCCTCAAATTCCTAATCGTCAAAAAGCCGGTAAAGCACTTGCAGTACCTCTGGTGTTTTGTATCTCCATGGGCGGCACCGATTGCTTACCATCAGGTGATCCATATACAAGCTTACCAGCTTATTGTATAAAAAAATGTGTACTGCAGTAGACTACCTTTAATATTATCATTGAGTAGGAATTTGTAAATACAAAATGTGTGATTGTTATTATTGGTTTTATTTCCTTAAAATATATTCATGCTACTATAGTATTATACACAACTTCAAATTAACTTTCTCTCAACGGCTTCTGTGAAGATAATAAAAGTGCTAAATTTCCATTCGCAGCACACATCCATTCTTGCTCACAAACTTTCGCATTTATAATGTTAGTAGGACACAGAGCTTCTAGCAGGAATTGTCACCGTCTTCTCAAATTATCCATTTAACTATAGGTGTCACTTGGTAGGGATACGTCTGAGTCTGTGAAAACAAAAAAAATAAAGTTTAGTAATATTGTCCAATATTATATCATATCCAACAGGCATGATATTCCAATGCTGTGTTGTGAAGAGGGAATAGAGGAGGCTGGATTATGAGCCTCCTCTCAATTACAGGATTTCTTATAACTTAAACACTTGGCACAAATCGTAGACCCGGAGCTGCGGACGACCTAAGGTTACCGTGGCAGGAACGGAATGGTGTTCAGTCAGTAGGAGTCTACACTTCCTCTCGCCTCACCCAAGGCGGGAGGAGTCATCGGATGATCTCCCCCCGGATAAATGTGTTCATATTTATTAATTTTTTTTTCTGCCAAAATTTCAATAATTCGTCAATAAACTGCGTTTAAAAAACTAACTTCAACCCGATCTTGTTTTGAAGTCGGTTGATTAATATACTAATACATTCTCCTAAGTGTATCAAACACTGTTCTGAAACCCGCATCAAAATTGGTTCTGACAATCGCGAGATATTCGCGCACAAACCTACATACAGATCGAACTGAACTGACCTCCTTTTTTTTGAAGTCGGTTAAATAAAGAACAAAATCTTTATTTTGTTTAAATACCTGAGTGCCTACTGGCCGTACGTTGGTCATTTTCTTCATTTAAAATATAAGCATAAGATTTTAAAGTTTCCATCTTGTCGTAGTCTTCATCGGCTTGTGCTTTGACAATCATATTTTGTAATTTTTCCTTAATAGCCTCAATTTCATTTGTCGATACATCCTCGTCATCTTCATCCGGTGCTTCTTTTAATTCAAATTTACTTTTTTCTTCTGCTTTTTTGACTACTTTTTTGATTTCCTTACTATTGGATAGAAAGTATGTATCTGATCCTGCTGTTTCATCCTTACTGTCATCGAAATCATTGAAATCTGCGTCTTTGTTTGTATTCCTATCTAGATCAACTGCACTTTCTTTCTGATTTCCATAAGATGAAGCAAATATTAGATTTTTGTAATTTCTAGTCGATTTTTTATCTTCATTATTATATTTGATTTTGTATCCATTTCTTTTGTTTGCTTCTAACACATAATTGTTAATGACTGGTGTTATATCTCCAACATACTTTGACGTTCTTTTCAGTGATTCAATATTATCGAGTCGAGAAGAGAAATGTTTTATGATGTCATCAAGTTCTTTTATCTTCTTATTCTTTCTTTTTCTTTTATATTTGTTGCGTTTATGTAATTCTTTGATATATTGTGAATTTGTTTTCTTTGTGGTTGTTTGTGCTGTGGATTATAAGAAGTTTACAATATGTGTGTTTTGATTATTATGATGGCGTGTGGCCACTATCTCGCCTGATGATACGCGATGATGGGACATGCCTACCACGCAATCTATTCACTCAGGACTTGAAGACAACCAGAGAAATACAGACTGTGGCAAAGAATTCTACTCATTAGAGATTTGCACAAGAAAACTTGGAGTGGAACGCTGCGTTTGATTGGGTGGAACATCTACCAATAACAAAAGGAAATATTTTGGAAGTTAAAACTAAGTAAGGTATCAAGTGTTGTGAAAATGTCTATACTTAAAGATTATATAAAGATATTAAAAGGCAAAGTAATTAATTTATCTAAACTTACGTTCAATATTTAGAAGTTCACCAAGAATTTTAGTCCGTAAAGGGAATCTAATCTTTAAGGCGTAGTTGATAGAGTCGACAAGCGTTTGTCTGCGTTCTGAACGACTGAGTCTTCTGTATGGTCTTATGAAACTGTCCAGTATACATACACACACCTCTTTTGCATTCTTTGAACCTGAAATTTATTAATTTTTAATATACTAGTTGACCATAAAGTAATACCAAAAAAAATATGTTAAACGGGTTCAATGACCTCCATTCTACCAATCAAGTCCTTTCGTTTGATATCAATAATGGAGGTAGTTGTGGAAATAATTTGAATGTATTGTATCTTCATCAAAATTAAGATTGTGTACGAAATATCTGATAGATCGTTCATCAGGAAGGAGGTAAAATTCCAATTATTAAAGATGCAAACAAACCAATGGGACAAGCTGAATAAAACCATTTAAAGGCATAGTTCATACCAAACGTATTGTCGGCCGCTGACAATGAGCGCGTGTTATAGTTTATCACTTTTCCATTATTCACACCATACCGACTATACTCTGTTACGTAGTGCGATGTCGACAATGAGCGTACTCACAGTCGGTGGCGGACAATACGTTCGGTGTGGACGATGGTTAACAAAAACAATACGTTTCATATTATTATGCTACGTTACGAGACGCCATGTCAAACTTACCTTTAGGATATGTTTCATATTCTGTTACAGCATCAAAGAGTTCACCTCCCTCGTCTTCATTGTACAGCAGATCAGCATAGTCTATGATGGAGTTCACGTCTACTGATACAGCAGTCTTCCTGACTTGCAGCATGTGGTACATCATTGATGAGTAGCCTGGGAAGATTATAATTCTGAAGGTGATGCAGAGGTCAATTTAAACTAGGGAGCGCCCTAAGCAAGCACCTCATTGACGTCCCTAATTTATTTCGCCGCCGCCACTCTATGGGCAGTTGGGCACGCGCGTCTCGCGGCGCCCCCAGACATTTGCCTAGTTTGCCTTAGTGCTATATTTCACCCACCAGGACACCATGGCAGCGTAATTAGTCGCGCCATCGTTTACACAGTACACTACCAATCTAGACAGCATACAGACACCAGAGTCGCCACACCACACTGCAACAGTAACAGAATCTAATGCTCCCGCCTGAGCTGGTCACACCATGTTTGTAACTTTCTATAGAGCTATATACATTTTGTTGGTAGCGGTGACTGTTGCGCCGCTATGGTTCTCGATGAAATATAGCCCTAGGGATAACACTGCTCTGGTCCTAGCATTTACAACTGCGGACAAGCGGCTCGAAAGAGTCTGACACTCCCTCTCGTCTCACCGAAGGCAGAGAGATGTCGTTGGATGATTTTCCTCTTTAAAAAGAGGACTATTACATCAAAAAATCCACTATAAATGTATACAACATTTACAATAAAACTGCCATACTTACTTCTCACTATATCAATCTCTCCTTCGCTGACGAACCGGGAAATATCAGTGATGACGTTGGTCAAGGGATCGCCGAACCACTCATGTTCAAACCAACTGTAAAATACCACATTAATATACTAATAATATAAATGGGACATTGTTAATGTTGATAATCATGACGAGATGTATGTATTGAGTAAAATTGAGTGATGAAGTGACACATAGTGCTATCAGAGAAAGGTGTGGATTAAAAGATGATAATGTGACAAGGATTGAAAAGGAAATGTCACGTTGGTTTGGACATGTAGAAACGATGGATGAAAGTAAAGTAACGAAAGAAGTATACAGAGCGGATATGATTGATTAACCGACGAGTATGCATGAAAAGACTGATGGCTGTTGATAAAACGAAAGAGGTATATAGAAGAATCGTAGCAATTGGCGTTTCATAGTCCCTGCCTACCGCCATGGCAGACAGGCGTGAGGTTATGTATGTATGTATGACGATGGTGATGATCATGAAACACTAACGTTCCCACATGTAGTTCTACTTCCTCCAACACATTTTTGACAAGTTTCTCATCCTTCAGAGAAGTAATCCTTAATATTTGTTGTAGGAAGATAACCAAATATCCTTCGTTTTGTTCTTCCATCATCTTGTAGTAAACGTGTCTCGCAGATGGCACCTGCGTCGTGGTTTTTGTTCCAATACCTAAAAGAATTACAAAGAGACATTAAACATTGACTTCTTCCATCGCCTTCGCCCGCGTTCCCGTGGGATAAGAAGCCTACGTGGTAGTCCAGACCATAACCTAAGGGGTAGGCAGAGGTGCACATTATGCCACTGTACAATGTACTTACCACCCACTTTTCACTATTTATGTTATGAGTCCCATGTAATAGGGGGTGAGCCTATTGCCATATACCGGGCACAATTCCAGACTCCGTGCTACTACTGAGAATTTTTTAAAAACCCAGTAATACTTTGCCCGACCCGGGAATCGAACCCGAGACCCCTTGCCCGGCAGTCGCACTTGCGACCACTCGGCCAACGAGGCAGTACGTGTCTAATGTACGGACATAATCTACCAGACGACATTATATTAAAAGCTAGTCATCACCATAGCTCTAAATACGGCAGTAGTTCAGTAAGATCTATAAAAGAATAGACAAGGTGGTATAGCTTGACATGCGATACATACCTCCAAATACGATCCCCGTGTGGTCTTGTGGTCCCAAACTTACAGATGTGCTGGTCAGTGGATTGCGGTCTAGTGTTCCGAAAACTTCAAAACCGCGCGTCTGTGGTGTAACTCTGTACAAAAACCAGTGAAACCCGGAATGAGGACCGATTTTTCCAACGCCAGTTAAATATCAGAGGAACAACTTTGAATATTTGAGAATGACTGTGCAGCCGTGCGGTTGGTGCGGTGGCTGGGCCACCGGCTGCCAGGCAACGTGTTAAGGGTCTGGGTGTCATGTGTATATGAACTTATATGTTTGTAAACGCACGACACAGCACACGTAACCTAGTTTCCCCAACGTTTACAAAAAAAATCCATGCTAAACCTGTCAAATGTAATTTTATTCTATGGTTAAGAATTATCTGTTGATTGAAAAATTGGCCTTAAGTTAGGAAAAAAAGCAATCGGTGCCGCCCATGGACATCTGAAACACCCGAGTCATTACAAGTGCGTTACAGGCCTTTTGGGAATTGGGAATGTGAGGATTGTGGGGAATTCGGGGATTGGGGAGGGAGATAATTAGGCCTCCAGTAACCCCACTCACACGACGAAACACAACTCAAGCGTTGCTTCACGTCGGTTTTCTGCTCGGCCGTGGTATCACTCCGTTCGAACACGAGTAGAAAATACTTTAGAAATACGTACCTTCCCATTTCTGCTGCAGCAGCAGATAATTGGTAGTCCGTAGGTGGTAGAGGAGACACTGGAGGAGTCAAAGGACCTTCTCTGTGTACTGGAGTAGCAGAATTCTTCATTTGTTGTTGTTGGGCCCACAATTGCGATTTGGACAAAGGACGTAGTGACTGTGGCACTGTTTGAATGGGTTTTTTGATTAGTACTATTAACAATATGTCGTGGTGGCCCGGAGGTTCAAGACATCTTCACCTTCAAGATGCATTCTCATGCATTACAGAGCGAGTTCGAGATACGGCAAGTACCAATGAGAGTTTTTCTGAGTTAGACACCATTGACAAACGGGAACCAGCTTATATTTTTTTAATTTTTTATTATAATTAAATTTGAAATCGCCAACTTGCATTGAGGAAGCGTGGTGATTAATGCTCATACCTTCTCCGTGTGAGAAGAGGCCGTTGGTCAGCAGTTACTTATAGGCTGTTGATGAGACTTTGACAATCTCATTACTAGAGTCGTTAGCTATCAGATCACCATAAAAGGCGCCTGGCAATGTTTTCAAATAACAAATAAGCGGTTAGTTGGAGGAGTAGAGCTCATTAAAACAATATAAAAATACTTAGTAATATAATACTTACTGGCAGTAAGCCCGGCCCAGAGCGACTTCGTAGTCCACCTCTGAACAGGCGTAGTGGCGGTCGCTTGGCTGAACCAGTTTACAAAATTATCCACGTTTTTCCCTGACACCGGAACACCGGATTCAAAATTAGGTTTTTGGTCATTACGCACTAAATACTTTGAAAGTTGTTTTGTAGTTCTCGAAGTTGACGGTGTAGTTGTCAAAGGAGGATACCTTGAAGTCATAGGTATAATTGTGTAAAGACCTGGTGGCTTATTACTTTGGCTGATGAACCCAAAATATTTATTGAAATCGTCTATTAAACTTCGTGTCAATTTGCCAAAGGTTGGTGGTGTTACAACCAAATTAAATGAGTCGTTTCGTGTCTGCACCGGGTATCCAGGGTAGTCGGAGCTGATAGTGTAGGGCGGTGCTTCTTCTGCCTCGTCTTTTGTCATATTGCCAAAGTTTGGCGGCGTTATTGGTATATCGAAAGTCTCGTTTCGGGGGGTCGGTTCCGTAGTATCAGGATAGAGTACGGGGTTGAAAGGGGGAGGTTCGTAGGGGTATCCAGGGTAGTTAGTGTTAAAGGTGTAGGGCGGCACTGTGGTCGGTGGCGTCAGATCAGTCTCGACAATCTCTTCTTCTACATATTCTTCTTCGGTAGTACGGGGTTGTGTCGATAGTGTTGGCAAAAAAGTAGATGTCACATCCTCATGTGTTACGCCTTCTACTCCGGTCTCGCCCCAAAACATATCAGTGACGTCATAACTTAGAAAATTACTGTCTTCCGGGATCGGAGCGTTTTCATAATCGATTTGTGATTTGAGGATCTTCCTCTCTTTCCTTATCTCTTTCTGTACTCCACGGAGGAGGGTGTCGATTTCCTTTAGTGATTTGTGTAGGTTTCTTGCCAGGAATGTGTGGTTTAAGATTTCTGGAAGTAAATTAGAATTTAATTGATGCTCTCTTTTTTGATTCCGTTGCAGCAGTCAATTTCAGCTTTACAACTTACTTTTTGATGGTTGAATATTAGTCAATGACTTCTTCCGCCTATGGTGAGGCGAGAGGGAGTGTCAGACTCTTACTGACTAAACACCACCCAGTCCAGCCGGAGTCCTGGTGACTAGCTAGTGTCCGCAGCTCCAGGTGTAAGTGTTAGACTACAGTATCTGCTTACCACCAGGCAGACATATTTATAAAAAAGATACACGACAAAGTAATGAAATAATACAAATTGTAATATGCTTACTCTTATGGACAATTTTACAGACGAACAATTCATAATTTAGAAATAGCGTTATTAATATTACTTTCATAGCGAATTATACACTCTAACGTTAATTATGAACCATTTTATGTCTTTATTTTAGACGTAACGACTGAGAATCTATTTTTTTATTTGATTATAGTATAATACAATTTTGTTATTCAAGTCGATTGAACTTAAAACAATCTGCGCACTTTTATAATTTTATGAGCTGTTTGTTTAATAAAAACTACTGTTTTGTAATATATATTTTAAGGTTGGCAACACTTCGCTGTGGCAAGTGACTGTGGTTTAAAAAGCCGTTATTTCAAAAGAAGATTGGTTTAAAATTATGAACAGTTGATGATTGTTAGCTTGTTAAAAATCAGTAACAACCCCAATGTTTATCGTCAATAAAATAGTTGTAATAATTTTATTGGATTACAAATATAAAAATAGTTGCTCGCGCAATGTATAACAAGTTTTATGATACAACTAGCTGTTACCCGCGACTTCGTTCGCGTGAAATAACTACTTCTGTATAAATTGGGTTTTTTAAATTAGTCCTTGTCAAGGTATATTCTATGGCTGTACAACTGGAACAAATATCTTCACAATCGATTCAGTACCTAGGTTATATTTATTGAGAAATGAATTTATTTTCGTGGTTTCTAAAATAAACAATCCCATAGAGGTTTTACCCGTACAGTGCCGCCCGTCTCGTGAGGTTTCACTATTCTATGTTTGCAAATCAATGTTGTATCGCATTTCAATCAAATAGATATAGTGATTTTAACAGCACAGTTCCCGGTTTCGTGGGTTTTTCGAGTTAAAAACTTTTAGATGTCCTTTCCCGGGTCTCAAACTTTCGCTGTACCGAATTTCACCAAATAGATTCAATGGTTAAAAGGTAAGAGCCCCTCTTTATTTCAACGTCCTTGTCCTGGTTTTTTAGCGTATAGTTTCCGTCATTTTGGGATTTCCTCTCTCCTATAATGTGACCTGATATGTACCGGTGCGACGTGCGTTACTATCGCAAACATTTAAATGAAAAAATAGGTATTCTGATATTAGGTTAGTTACATATGATACATGTACTTTAATGTTGATATTAATGTCCTCTATAAGACTTAATACATCCCTTGGCTCTATTGTCCATAATTTCCACAGCGTAATCAATACCAATAATATAAGGAGTTTTTTTGGTAGTTTTTCACACATCGGGTTGTCATTACCTAAAGGAGATTTTTTTTTGAGGTCGGAAAATCATCCAATCACTTCTCCCGCCTTGGGTTAGGTGAGAGGGAGTGACAGATTCTTACTGACTAAAATCCACTCCGTTCCTACTCCTGCTCGTCGAGCCGGAGCCCCGTCAACTCGTTAGGCCTCCCGCGGCACCGTATCGAGCATCAGCCCTACTGGGCTCCATCTATGATGGTGTCATGGCTCTGTAAGGCGCGCGCCGTATGCACGGGACTGGTTCTGGTCGGGTGGCGAGCTACCCTTGCTCTTCGTCTACAGACCCGCACTTACGGTGGCCGGTGGCCGGCCGATCTCCGACGCCCAGAGTGTCTCCCGCGACGGCTGGGGCGTGAGGAAGTTAATTCCCTCACGCGCTCCGCTTTCTCCTTGGCAAGCATAAATGCTTCGCAGAAGGATGCGACTGCATCCCAATCCCCCTCGCTCCATGGCCTGAACCAGAGCCGAACTCGAGTCAGGTCACCGTTTCCTACATCCCTAAGAACACGGCGGTGCTCAGCCCATGCAAGGTACACCCTCACAATCCTCAAATTACCAATTCCCAAAAGACCGGTAACGCACTTCTAGCACTTCTGGTGTTACAGGTGTCCATGGGCGGCGCAGATTGCTTACCATCAGGTGATCCGTCTGCTCGTTTACCGGCTTATGCCATAAACAAACAGCAAACTATCATAGTGAATTTGGCCTTGACGGTCTAAAATGAAAAGGACTAATATTATTTTTTAGCTATGTGCATTTAGCTAGTTTTTTTGATATATACATATAAAAAATACGAATTCAAGTAAACTGAAAATATTTTATTCGTGGTTTTATCTCCTTAGACTGCTGTTAACCTCTTTGCATACCTTAATATTAATACCATTGTATAAAAAAAATCTATGACACATTGACTTTGTAAACTCACTTGTCACACAAATGTCAGATGACTTAAGAAATGTATACTAATAATATAAATTTGTATGTGCTTGTTTGTTTGTTTGTCCGTATTTCACGACAGATCGGAGTCAGGAAGGTTTTTGATTTGAGATAGTTGAAAAGATGGAGAGTATCATAGGCTACTTTTTGTCTTTTTCTAACCCCCTTCCACTTCCGTGAAACAGAGGTGAAAGTTTGTATGGGGTATTTTGCAATTTTCAATGTGGAAAGCTAACAATTGGTATGCGGGTTATTTGTGACCAGCATAGAATCGGGCATCATTTAATTTTGTTTATTGTAAATCCTTCCCTCACCCCATTAAAAGAACGCGAGAGAAGCCGCAGACAGAGGCTAGTCTATTAATAAATTGTATTCAGTCAATTGAATTCGTATTTTGTCTTTAAAATCCCTGATCCCTGATGCAGCTGAATACTAATATTATTCCTTGAAAACCCACAGAACTTCATTTTTATATGTTGATGCCAAAATATATATATTATGGAAGTAGGATGCCATAACAATTACAAATCATCAGGTTGGTTACCATAGTAATGTTACCTGTCAGATATCCGTTTTCAGGTTTTCAGATAAATCGTAATAATTATTCTTAAAAATCGACATAGTCTTACAACCCCTTTTTCGCGATAAAAAGTAGCCTATGTTTTATCTCGGGGTCTAGAATATCTGTATACCAAATTTCATTCAAATCCGTTCAGTAGTTTTGGCGTGAAAGAGTAGCAGACAGACAGACAGACAGAGTTACTTTCGCATTTATAATATTAGTTAGGATTAGGATTAGGATAAAATGTTAGTATTTTTATATTAAAATGAAAGTGTGCGCGTGTGTTCTGCTGTTCACCATACTCGGTATTTATTTTGTCTTTGTTGCAATACAAATTATTCATTGAATTTCTTTTATAAAATGAGTTATTATTTACACTTTTTTGTCGAAAGTAAAGTATAAATAATACATTTATAATATATTTGTAATTTGTAAGCATGCGTGTGTGTATGCAATTATGCATCCTAGCTTATAACGGCCACTTTATAGAATGTTTGCCTTCAGTGCAAAGCTCCGACTTTTTGATAATTTTAAATTACTATACGTACTAACATAGAAATTAAAATAACATATTTTCATGTAAGTGTAATAAATTACAAAAACAAATAAAGTTTTTAATTATTTTTGTTTAACTCGTCGAGTACCGGTTTTATAGACACAATTAAAGAACAATAGGTCGCGGTCACCGGTGACCGCAACCTATTGTTCTTTAATTGCATCTATAATGACGGTACTCGACGAGTTAATCCAGATATACGTTTAACTTACAATATGTCTAACTACACAAAACATCTCAATACTACATGAGCTGATTACATGTGAACATTAGCTCATGACGATACCTAAGTACGTGTGTCGTTGACAAGTCAACCTCGCTACCATCAGTTGACTGGACAATACACTACATGAGCTGATTACATGTGAACATTAGCTCATGACGATACCTAAGTACGTGTGTCGTTGACAAGTCAACCTCGCTACCATCAGTTGACTGGACAATACACTACATGAGCTGATTACATGTGAACATTAGCTCATGACGATACCTAAGTACGTGTGTCGTTGACAAGTCAACGTCGCTACCATCCGTTGACTGGACAATACACTACATGAGCTGATTACATGTGAACATTAGCTCATGACGATACCTAAGTACGTGTGTCGTTGACAAGTCAACCTCGCTACCATCAGTTGACTGGACAATACACTACATGAAAAACGTATTAAATCATCTCAACATCAGAACATTACCTTTAATAGAATAATAACTTCCAGACGAGCCCAAAAAGTATGTACAACCGAATCGTACAACTCTTTCTTTATTAGGAAATTCCAGTGCTATATTGGCGCCATGCTTTACAATGAAATAAATAAAAAACTTAACGTTTATCCATTAAGTTGTTATAGTTGCAAAGAAGGTCTAACAGTCTGGTTGAAAAACAAAACAATGAAGATATTGAAAACTTGTTTGTTGTTTTACAGTAACCGAATTAAAAATACATATGCAATAATAGTAATAACTCGATACAGCAGTAATGAAGGAACAAAATGAATTTAGTATGTTATTGTTTCCAATCTTAGTCGACAGTGCATGTATTACTAGTGTAAACAATCAAAGGAATTTATACAATTAAAGGAAACGTTTTTACTAAACTATATATTCATCAACAGCCTATAAATGCCCACTGGTGAGCAAACCCTCTTCTCACACGGAGAAGGTTTGAGCATTAACCACCACGCTTGCTCAATGCGGGTTGGCGATTTCAAACTAATAATTTGAAATTATAAGCCCAGGTTTCCTCACGATGTTTTCCTTCACCGTTTGTCAGTGGTGTCTAGATAATCTTAGAACGTAGGTACATATAACTCGGAAAAAGTCACATTCGTATTTGCCGTTGATAAGTTTCGAACCCGCACCCTCATGCATGAGAAGCGCCTAACCTCCGGGCCACCAAGACTGATTATAATTATATTTTTCATTAGTTAAAATACGAATCGTGTTTAGTCTGTTTTACATAACAAATCATAATTTTATAACAAAAATCAAAAGCGTCGCTCCACTTTACAATACATTTTCTGACATAACATAACATCACGCCTTTTATCCCCGAAGTGGTAGGCAGAGGTGCACATTATGCCACTGTACAATGTAACACCCACTTTTCACTATTTATGTTATGAGTCCCATGTAATAGGGGGTGAGCCTATTGTACCTACTACATTTTCTGAATCCTCTATTTATTCTATTTTCAAAATATCCCGCCTCTTACCAGCCAACGTCATTTCGATAGATAGATATATCTTTGTGGTGGCTTGATTCGTGTCAGAGGAGT